CCGTGTAGTTTCATAATGCAGTTTCTAGCAGTGTTTCCTAAACCTGGTCCCCTGAACACATTGTTGTCAGCGGACAACAATGTTTTTGTTTTTTTCTGTTGAGTCTTAAGTTGTTCAAATCTTGGTTTAATGTGATCAAAATGGGGGTTGGTTTAAAGATTGCAGTATCTTTAAATATACTGCAATTTTATATATACTTTATATAAAAAGCAGACATAAATATGCTTTATATATTTCCTTGCACCTAGTTGGTAGGTGGCCTGAAGACAAGGTTTAAGTGACACTGGGATGCAGGACAGAGGGGAGACAGTTTATATGCTTTTGTTATTAAAGTTTTCTAGTCAATAGCTGTAAATTTCATATCAGTATTTTCATCAGACATTCCTTATGATGAACCCAATGCACATCCTACAGGCTGTCCATGATATAAAAAAAATACAGTTAACCAGAACAGGCTAATTTTCACCATTGGTCTCTGGCCCAATTTTGAGGCTTCCAGGCTTATTGTTGACACATTAATAAGTTGTGGACAACTGATTAGCATCCTGACTTGCATAACAAACTGCAAGGCACAGTGTATTCTGACACCTTTATAATAATCATTTGCTTCTTTAGCAATTTGAGCTTAAGCACCTCAGCTGTTCCATCAGTCCATACAGGTCAGCGATTTCTTCCCGTATTCATGATGCTCTTTGGATGGCCCTTAATAGATGCTGACTTTTGCATACATGGAATAACCTTTAGGAGCCTCCATTTCTGGACATATTGCCTCCCTGTCAATTAGCCATCACATCTTGTCAAACACACTAAAATCCATCCAAAAGCTTACCAAAGCTATGATTTACACCAACTTTGAAGAGAAAATGTTGATTAGTTACCTCATGTATTGCAGTCAAACATAGGTGCAGTAATGAAAAGGTTTCAGTCCTTTTTGCTCTATCTTTTAGTAGTCACAATGTTGTATCTTATATTTTATTAATTTACACTGTCATATGAGAAATATTGATGGAAAATTAAATAAATATTTTTCTGAGGAACTTATAGCACCTTGAGTGTATCTGCTAATTGGTTTCTGTATTGAGATAAGAAAGGGCACTTCTTGGTATTTCTTGACATAAAAATATTATATACATAATATACAGTTACAACATTGTGTTGTAACTGTAGAAGTCACACCATGTTTGTTGTCAAAGTAACATCAAAATCCAATGTCTTGATTCAGCTAAGATTGTTTTGTCCAGAGAATAGAAAAATACCAGTTTTAAGTTTTTTAGTTTACTATCTCTGTAACAAATTGTCCAGAGTGAAAAGAGACATGAGAAAGAGGTGATAGAAATCAATATTATTTGTCATGTGAGTGTCTGACTTTGTAACTTTCTTCATCAAGGACCAAAAAAGCAACAATCATCAACAAGTTTTCAAATATTTAAGAACTTATATGTCAAAATTTATAGAAAGCCAGAGATGGATATATGTTGAATGTTTAAATTATTATTAAAATCAGATGTCTGACATTGAAAATGCTTTCTAGAAATATGAAACAAATACTAAAATAAATATGCATGCTTTTAAATTTCAGAGGAGTTCTGCATTTAATTATGTAAGTATTTATCAAATTATTGAGACTTTTAAATAAATATTTAGACTTTATTTAAATGAGCAGACAATTTTTTTAAATTCTAGATTGACACTTTTGCTGTCAATATTTTTCCAACAGTACAGAGAAAGTTTTATCTGACCTTTGCTGACATACAAACCATATTGCAGTTTAATTGTGTCACAATAAACATCTGGTGACATTTAATATTTGTGGCATTGTGTTCAAATGCTCAATGTAAAGATCCTAGTGTTCAAATGTTCTTCTATCAACAGTTTCTGTGTAAGATTATTGAAATATACTCTGAGAAGCACCCGTTCTTTATCATTTTTAATCTGATCTTTGTCAGAAAACATTTCAGTTTGTGTTGAGTTCATTTGTGTTGAATTAGTCCATTGTTGATGTTCAGCCTTCATGCAATGCAAAAAGCCATGCAATGCATGGCTTTTTGCCGTAATCGAAAGCAGAAGTACTGCACTAAAATAAAGTGTTCAGTATAATGTGACAGGAAGTCAGAAGTGGAATGTTGCACCGTTGTTCTGATGAGATTAGTTTGTTGTCTGTTTATACAGGTCATAATGACAAATCAACATGTTTAATTGACGTTTCTTTCTCTGATCTGTAAGGAAGACCTCAGTGTCACATAAAGTTTTTAAATGACTTCAAGTTAAACAATTCTAGTTTTAAAAATAAGAAGAACTTAACTTGTAGAGGTTTGTAATTGCTTCTCAGGTCAAAGGGTGTATGCACCAGAGTTGGATCCTGCCTCAGCTTTTTGGTCTGACGATATAGCTGCATGGAAAATGTCAACCAAGTCATAGTCATCCAGAAGCCACAGAGGAATTTGTAGCTCTGACGGCACCCTCCACACTGCTGGATTTTTTCCAGAGCCATTAGCCTTTCTGTGGCAATGATAGTTACTAGATGAGTTGTGACCAAAAAGCTTCATTCCCTGAATAATTGTCTAACACAACATTGCATTATCTTAATCTTCTGGATCTAGACTTCTGTGATAAAATTGTGTTACTGAACTGGTTTCTAAATGTTTCTTAAGGACTGTAAATCAAATGTAATGATTGGTGTAAAGTTTTTTCTAAGGCTTATATATGCAGACATTTATTTTGATAGACACAAACATCTTTCAGAGTTGAGTAAGAGCTTTGTTTCGCACTCAGGACAGGAAGAGTAGAGGAATAGAGGAAGATGTATTTTAAAACTCTGGTAGTTTGGTTTTGACTGTATATTTTTACCTTTATTGTTTCAACATTTCAGATATATTTGGCTCAGTTTAATATTTAACTGCAGTAAATTGAAGCTAAAGTAGACTCACTAAATCAGATTTATGCAAAACAGGGAAAATGTCAACAGTATTTTTTCCTGTAAACATTTTGTTTTAAAATCTTTGCCAACTTTAGAAGCAGTTTCAAGTCATCCAGAGTTTCTCAGAGTTGTGTTGTTTTTATACAGAGGAGGCTGTTATTTTTAGTACACTGTGTAGGTCAGATGGTTTCTCTTTCTGGTGACAGTAGTGTGTCGCTGTGCAGTCCTTCCTGGTCTGTAAATGATAATGTATCTGTAAACTGACTGACAGGAGGCCTGTGGTTCCCCTCGGCCCACACGTACATTTTTAGCTGTAGATGCATCACTTTATTTTTGTGTTGTTACTGCAGTTTTAAACCTTCCCTCAGGCTAAGCAAGGCAGGTTTTACTAAGATGATAACTTGTCAGAGCATGGTGATAGTACTGGCAGGTTTATGTGGCTAAAGATTAACATGCTGAGCCAATGAAGGGTTTAAAGTGGATCCCAGCTGATTTAGTTGTAGATATTGGATTATCAAAAAGAAAAAAGCATTATTCTACTACACGTTACTATTTAAAAAATACATATAAAAAATAAAAAACAGTAGTTGTTTACCTTGTTTCTGCTTGAAAGACAACCTGGTAAACAACTTTGTAGACTAAGTAGACTTTCTTAGTCTACTTAGTCTACCAAACTCACCACATTGAGGTGAGTTATTAATAGTAATACAGAAAAAAAACAGTTTTTGCACACTCAGGGTTACATTTAAATAGGTTTAGGGCCTGACAAATAAAACCACATCATTCTTAAAATGTCTTTCATGTAAAAGCTCAGGGCTGAAAAAAAGTGAACCTTGTTTTTTTTATTTTATTTTTATTATAACTTTTACCACCAATTTGATCAGATTAGTGTTTTCAGAGGACTATGACTTCCGTAGGTCAGATAGACCATGCTGATAATTTCAAGCAGGCTGACGCCTGTCCTTGTCACGTGAATTTCTTATTTATTACAATTCACTTTCACCTGCAATGTTTTTTCCAAAACTGCTGAATTGAGTTGGTAATTTACACTGACAATATATTGTTTTTATGTATTCACATTTTTCATTATTTCATCTGTATAAAACAATGAACATTTACTATTATTATAATCTTCTGCCTAATCAATTATAACCCTCACAATTATACATCAGTATACACAAACAGCTGACACTATGTGTGTCACTGGGAGCCTCTAACGCAGCTAAGGAGCAATTTAAGTTCTTATGTTTGATTTATCCTACCTCTCCACATCCTTTTTGTGCAGCCCCTTGTTTCTGCTGTACTACTAATCCCACTAGTGTGGGTGGATGCACCCAGTAGTAGGAAAGGATTTTAACCAGTTATGTCACTCCAGACATTTCTAAGTCAGAGCTATCTGAACGTTAGATTTCAGAAGAATTGTTTGGCTTCAGCATTAAAGATTCAAAGGAAAATTATCTTAAGATCTTAAGTGCTTTCTGTTTTATATCTGATTATTTATTTGTTTGTTAGTTGGAAGAGAGAATTACTGGATAAAATGCAAAGAGATGTGATTTGGGCTATTCTCAACGGCATCTATTTAAGAAGTTACAGTGTACACATTAGTGTATCACGGCCCAATGGACTGCTGGACCATAAAGTTATGCTGTATATATTTGCATTGAGGGATTATATGAGAGGAATTGAGTAAAATAAATGAACTGGAAAGATACATTGAGTGATTCATACAGTCCACACATACGCCTTCATATTTAGATAATATACCCATCCAAGTGTTTTATTGGCCGTCATGTGAATCAGAGATAAAAACCCCCAGCATTCTGTACTGGTGCTTCCAAATCATCCCACTAGTTTACAGGCTCGACTGGATTTGAGTCAGCATCTTAGAGGCTTTAGGAGGAGGCTGAAGTTAAAAATAATTCACAGTCTATCATCAGTAGGGCAAGAAGTTGCCTTACTGCATTTTTTTTTTCATCAAACCTAGACTTTTCTTTTATTTATCTACTCCATACCATAAAGAACCCCATCTGAACCCTGGAGATTGATGAGCGTTGACAGACTGACCTTTGTGTTTGTGTTTCAGGGGAGCATTCTCTGAGGTGGTCTTGGCTGAGGAGAAGAAGACACAGAGATTGGTGGCTATTAAGTGTATTCCCAAGAAAGCATTAGAAGGCAAGGAAAACAGCATTGAGAATGAAATCGCAGTTCTGCATAAGTAAGTGAAATATTATCCTTTAAAATCATCCTCTGATAAACATCCTCACCTACATTAAAGTGGTGTAAAGGCATTCCTAGTTATGATTTTCCACTAAAGGTTCTGAAAGGGGAAGTATTATGCAAAATATACTTTTCTGAGCTTAATTTCATGGTGTGATGTTATTCCTTCATCAGTTCCTAGTTGAGCTTCCAACTTACAGAGCATTCCTCCTCTCTCCCATGCAGCTCCACCAGACTAGTGGCTGCAGCAATTAGCAAACACCTGGTGGAACTGCTGAGCTTGTCAAACAAACTACAATGCTGCTGGAGCTTTGTAGTTTGGAAAAGCATTGTTGAGATGACAGAGACAGAGGCCAATTTCTAGATACAGCTATGATGCAGTTATAAAGTCAAGTTTATTTTAAGTTGTATTTAACCGAAGGTAATATGCTTACATGATTCTGGCATAAAATAACGCTATGTGTTTGGAAAATACATAATGCCTCCTCTTTAAAAATTCAGACTTAAATTATGGTTCTACACAACATGCATCCACCTACAATGTAATTAAAACATATTTTTTCAAATTTACCTTCCTTAAGGATTACAAATTATGCAACAAGAAGCATTATATTTTAAGGAAAAAGACCTTCAAAATGTTTTTCCTCCCACGTCTTTCATACCTGAAGAAGCAAACATTTTTTTTTTTACATTAAAACCAAGAAAGTGACACAAACTTTCTAATTGTGAAGGTTTTTTTTTGTTTTTTTTTCTGCTGTGCTCTTTTTTTATATGGGGAAATACAGGTCACAGTAAAAATGGCTGATCTGCACAGGTCCCTGGTTATTTTTAGAGGCCTTGTTGCCTAGGTTACAGGAGAAACACAATATACAGTTATGATTCCCTCTGAGGTGAGAACCGAGGAATGAGAGCGGTGGGGGTCAGCGAGCAGCTCACATACAACTGTGACAAATTAAATAAAACCAAGGTAAACACGGCTTGAGAGTCACGTTTGGCTCCGCGGGACGTTCCTATTGACTCGTCCAAAGGCTTCATCACTCATGTTAATAGTTTATGTCCCCATATCTCACGGAGTGGGGCTTAGGGTAGGTGTATGTTTGCTGGTGTCATCATGTAGCTCCTGCAGAAGAGGAGGGAGGGAGGAGTCACAGAAGACCAAACCAGAACTGAAACGGACTCTGCTTTACATCATAACTCCTTTAGAGGTCAAAGACTTTAGAGTTCATGAATATAAATAGCCTACACATTTCAATCAATTAACTCCTCTTTTACTACGTACTGTATATTTTGTGACATGGAAATATGATTTTCTGTCTAAATTATGAAATCATCGGACTGAATTATGTCCTGAAGGATTTTCTGTCCAGGTTGGGACTGATTGCAGCGTGCGTTATAAATAAGAGAAGCATATGTACAGAATCACATATGCCACCGTTCTTCAAAGTGAAGTCTACCCCGCATCACAGCTTCATTATTGACCAGACAGCTTGCCTTTGTGAAAGCTTCACAGTTTTGGCTGAACGTGTGAAGACAGTCAGGAAGATAAGCATTTCTGAAATTGTTCAATTTTACAGTTTTCTTCACCATTAAGAATTAAGTTAGGTATTCTTCAGGAAGAAAAACACTACTTTATATATCTGCTCTCTAAAATAGATATGGGTTCATTTGTAACATTAAAAATGGCTTTTGAAAAACCCCCAACCACCACACTACTGCTATCTTGCTTGACTGTCACTTATTTAACGGGGCACAACCTTTCCAAACAGTTCCACTTTTGTCTGCTTTTTTTTTTTTCTAAAAGTTTTTGGGATGATTCAAGAGTTTCTTTACCAAATGTGGGACAAATCTTCATGTTCTGTTTAGTCAGCAGTGGGTTCTGCCTAGAAAAGGATGCTGTTTTCATTCAGTCTTTCTTTTTGCTGAATTACAAACACTTAACTGAGGAAAGTGAAATTCATTTATGTGTTCTTGGATTTTTCGTCACATCCTGGATGAATCCTAGATGAATTATTGGAGTAATTTCGATAGGCCAGCCACTCACCACTGTTCATTTTTCAATTAGTGGTTTATGGCTTTCATTGTGGTTCACTGGAGTCCAAAAGCCTTTAAAATTACCTGTTAATACCAGGCTAATGCATGTCAGTGACGGTTTCACTTCTGTTGTTGTATTTCTTCAGATCAAAGCACGTCTTGGATGATAAGAAATCAGCTGTTGTATTAATGATCAACCCAGTACACAGACACTGGTCATCCTCTTGCTGTTCCCCTACTTTCCTTTCATTAGCGGTTTATAAGCTAATCTGTAAGCACTAAATGCACACCTGTAAAATCATCACCTGAGCTGTATGGCTATATTTTCTTTGTCACCTGGGCAAACACACACCTGCACAGAAATTCTGCTGAAATGCACAATGTTTACTGAACGCCTCAGCCCATACAGGGCCACACGTGACTGATCTCTCTGTAGTTTTAATCTGTCACTTATCCTCCACCGAGTTCATCTCTCCCTCAATGCTGTCCTTAGCAGATGAATGAAGGTGTCCATGCATTGTTGCAATCTGGATGAGTCACTGCTGTAATCCAATGTGAGCTTGAGCTGACCCATACTGAGTTCCCTTCGGTACATCTTGTACAGCTTTGTGCTTGGTGAATCTAGTGCTTGCAGACTGTCTCAATTCAGCATCTTGACTTTGTACTTAAAAGTATTCAAACCCTTTAAATATTTCTGCCCATTTTCACATTTCAACCACACATTTTAGTAACGTTCTAGAGGGAACTTGTCTGATAAACCAGCTCATAATTGTGAAGTGGAAGGAAAATAAAATTTTAAATGTGTGGCACCAGGGAAACATCTAAAATATTCTAGACAGAATCAGGGTTTGGCACCACTGCCCTGTATGACCTTTGGCAAACTGTACTCAGGAATTTTTAAGGCTTTATTTGCCACTATCTGTCTTCTTGTCACTCTTTTGTGTGGAGTGGATGACTAACAATTACTTTGTCTTACACTTTACATGTAGAGCTCTGCAGATAACACAGGGCCATTTAGCTGGTCCTCTGGTCATTGCTTTTCCAGGTCTGTTTGCTCTGTTTCTTGGTGACAGTGTTTGCTTCACTCAAGCTCTCTAACTAATCCCCAGAGGCCTTCACAAAACAGCTGGATTTATATGTAGAGTGAAATAAGTACAGATGGAATGCATCGGCTAATTAGGGGATTTCCTAAAGCAAATATGGACTTTATTCAAGGGTATCACAGTAAAGCTCTTTAAATTTAAATGCCCATAATTATCTGACTTGTTTTAAGTTTGAAAACAATGCAGTTTCCTTCTGCTCCACGTTTATGCACTACTTTGCGTAGCTCTATTACGACTTAAGTTTGACAAAAAACATCTGAATGTTTTTATCGAAAGCCAAAAAACGTTGAGCAAGACGCTGCACAGTAAGACCAAGTTTTGGTGTAAAAACAAAGTGGGATTTTGTGACAATGCAACAATGATTACTGGTGCTACTTCATCTTTTACATGTTTTCTTTTTTTTTTCTTTTTTTTTTTTACATTCTATTTAAAATCAAATGATGTTAAATGTGATATCCTGTTCTGATAAGATTCATCAAAAGCCAAACTGAAGATTCTGTAACATGCTAAGGAGAAAGACTTTCAACACGATGCAGGCTTTATTAACTGAACACAGTGATTGGGACAAAAAGGGCGATACCAGTCTGAAGCTGGTGACTCATTTTCCCACCACTACCACATCACTGACGGGTGTCAAAGGGCACCAAAGAAGAGTTCAGCCAATTAGAGAACTGCATGCATTTGCTGAGAGACACCTCCTCTTTACCCATAAAGATAAACTAACCCAGCCCTGCACATTAAGTTTTACACTGAGATCATATTTACAAGCTGAAAGCAGATAAGCTCAACTTTGATGTATAAAACCATAGGATTATTACAAGTAATAAACAATCAAACTGTTTCTTCCTCTTTCTCTTTTCCTTCCTGACAGGATAAAGCACCCAAACATTGTGTCTCTGGAAGAGATATTTGAGAGTAAATCACACCTCTACCTTGTCATGCAACTGTGAGTATTCACATATGTGTGGTGCTGCGTCAATCCTTCTTTTTTGTGCAAAGTGTGTTTCAAGCTGCCTACTCGTGTTATCTCCCACACGCTTTGTCACATTCCTCGAATTGCACTCCGCATCACAGAAACACACACTTGTGCACAAACCACACACGTGTGTGTGTGTGTGTGTGTGTGTGTGTGTGTGTGTGTGTGTGTGTGTGTGTGTGTGTGTGTGTGTGTGTGTGTGTGTGTGTGTGTGTGTGTGTGTGTGTGTGTGTGTGTGTGTGTGTAGACTACCCATGAGCATCAGTGGGGAGTTTGCCTTCACACTCGCAGCTTGTCAGTGTCCCACCCACCTTAAACTGCTGAAATGTCAGAGAGGATCCAGATCAATGACAGACCAGGATCAGGAGGGCTGTTAATTGTGACACTAATAAAAGTGTAAATCATTCATGCATTCATCAGAGTCAAAGAAGAAAATAAAAGGCAGCAGTTGGCAGAGATTCAGGGTGTTCAGAAAGCAAAGGGATGCTTCAAAACTCACAGTTTTTTTACTGCATTAATATTTATGATATTTATTTATTATTAACAGTCTGTTGCTGGATTCAGTGTTGGTCTTTCTTTCAAGTCTCCCTCAAGCCATTGATTAAGCCCTGAGATTTCTTCATGATAACATGAAAAGACCTATGTAAGCAGAGTGAAGTCTCCATCTGGTGGCCAAAAGTCACCACTGTTTGAGGTTTCATTGTATTTTTCAGATTAAAGTAGTATGCTTTTTATATCTGAGTATTTGTTTCTGTAATCTTCATCAAATATGTTGGAAGTTGCAGTTCTTAACAGCATAGAAACCGGAAGTTGTTTGTTCTAATAACTAGCTGTAAAGTAAGTTCCTGCTTTTTTTTCATTTCCTCTTGCTGATTTCCTCCTCGGTTTATTACCGTATTTTACCACTTCTCTGGCATCCCCTTTTGTTCAAATTCATGCAATGGGTAATAAGTGTATTTCCTACTTGCTTTGCTGAATGTATCTCTTTCTGCAGGGTGTCTGGTGGAGAACTCTTTGATCGTATCATAGAGAAGGGCTTCTACACAGAGAAAGATGCTAGTAAGCTAATTCAACAGATTCTGGATGCTGTAAAATACCTCCACGACATGGGCATTGTGCATCGTGACCTTAAGGTCAGTCACACCATTCTGTATTTGATAGTACAATGTTATTTTTAAGCAGTTTTTGATTAATATAGAGTGCTATGCTTTTCTCCTGCCAACTTGTCAACAGAAATATCTTTAACATTAATGAGAAATTCAGAACAAATTGTGTATGTGGTGTCTATGTATCAACAAAAAAAAAGGCAGCAAGTTACACATATGTCATTTCTTGCAAGCATTTAGACCTTTTCACATTTGAACTTTTTCAAATTCTGACACATTAGAGGCCCAAACTTCAGTGTATTTTGTTTCAGTTTTATGTGATAGACCAAAACAAAGCATTTCCTAAAGTTGGAGAAAAAGGACACATGCTTTTGGCACGTTACTTTGTGTTGATCCGTCACATAAACAAAAACCCACTTGTGTTTTTCTGTACTGCACATCCGATAGTAAATATCTGAGAAGGTTTTACTGGATATTTAGGGCTTTAACACATCTATGGTACCCTAGTGCACATATGACATATGTTATAATATGCTTTAAATGCACACTTGTATGTGGTTTTGCACTGCTCCTCACCTTGCAGCCAGAGAACCTGCTGTACTACAGCATGGAGGAAGACTCAAAAATCATGATCAGTGACTTTGGGCTGTCTAAGATCGAGGGCTCAGGCAGCGTGATGTCAACAGCCTGTGGTACACCTGGATATGTTGGTAAGATATTTAGAGACCAAGACTTACTCATTTTACATATCATGTAAATCTAGCAACAACTTCTTAAAATATTCAAATTAATATTAAACTTATGAACTTCACATTATAAGTTCATATATGAACTTATAATGTCAAGTTTTGACATTCTGTGTTAAAACCTGCATCTTCTCTTTCTTAAGCTCCTGAGGTTTTGGCACAGAAACCGTACAGCAAAGCTGTTGATTGCTGGTCTATTGGGGTCATATCATACATTCTGTGAGTACAACTTTGGATTGTCACCAACCCTTAGGTCCGCTGCTCTTTCAGAACCATGCCTGTGACCATGAGATAAAACATTGAAGTTTAGTCATATTAAATACATTTGAATGTGTTTAGACGACTCATTTGTCAGATTAAAAGCATCTTTTGAAAATAACAACCTTTAAGGAGCTAATAAAGATTATTTCTTTAACGTTACTATATTAAAATACTTTTCATTGGTTAAATACAATACATTGTTGTGTTTTTACTAGCTGTAAGTAGAAAATCAGCTTGTAGACATCAGTCTTTGTGTTGTTAATTTATGTAATATGTTTACTTAGTGAAATGAGTTACTGAAATAAATTGAGTTTTCAATAAACTAATTTATTGAATATGAGTGTATAGTGTTAGTTATGCACCAATAAACTGTTCTCTTTCATTCTAGGTTGTGTGGATACCCACCTTTTTATGATGAGAATGATGCCAAGCTGTTTGAACAGATCCTGAGAGCAGAATACGAGTTTGATTCTCCTTACTGGGATGATATCTCTGATTCAGGTACAATACATGTACAAAAATCACCATTGATCTGTTCATACTTTTTTGACATGCTAGTATTAAACAGTTTGGTCTAATATAAAACACCACAAATTTTGTGTGCGACTTGGGCAAGAAAAACTTTTTTTTTTCCTTTGTATATTGTAAGACAAGTTGAAGTCTGTTTTTTTTATTATTATCATTTGCAGCATTTATCAAAGAAAACATTGATCAAACAAAATTATCAATGTCGACGGTTCCTACAATTGCGGCCTTTTGGAAAAATTACTATACAAAGATCTGAATGAAATGTTTCTATGACATTCAGTTTTTAACTTTAAACTTTTTAATTTTTACAGCTAAAGACTTTATAGTGCATCTTATGAAAAAAGATTCTAATGAACGCTTCACCTGTGAGCAGGCTCTGCAGCACCCTTGGTATGTCTCTTCTGTCATGTCATCTCTTCAGCGCAAACTTTTTCAAATGAAAAGTTTATTTAAAGATTCAAATAATTGTTTATTCAATTTTTTTTTACTGAAACATAGTTTTATGTTCACATTCCAGTTATCTCACTCAAACCTTCTCTTCCTTCTCTCAGGATTGCTGGAGATACCGCCCTGGACAAGAACATTCATGAGTCTGTCAGTGCTCAGATCAAGAAAAACTTTGCTAAGAGCAAATGGAAGGTCAGTCAGAATCTTACAGAGCTGCGAAAGTATTCATTACTCTTCAGAGCATATATTTGAAATGGGAAAATTGCATATTTTAAAAAGGGTTTAACAATCAGTAATCTGAAAAGTAGGGTCTTCATTTGTATTCAGCCTTCTTAGCATTGACACTGAAAATCAAAGTAAAAAAAATTGTTGTATGTACACTTTGAGTTTACATATATTATGTGTTAAAATGACCCATCCAAAATTCAAACCTAAAGCCAAGTGAAAATCTGTCATATGATATAGAAATTTGTATCACTGGGCACTCTTAGTCTCATCTCATTAACCTTGAGCTTTTTGGCAAAAATTTCAAAATCTAAACTTGCAGCTCTGGGGTAGAAATGTCACAAAGTTGTGACTCAGAAAGGTTGAATACAAATGCACACCACATTTTTCCGATTTATATTTGTAAAAAGGGATTGTGAACAAAAGTGATGAAGTTCTACATTGTCATAAGAGTTATTATTCAGCTCTGCTCGCTAGGGCGTTTATCTTTGTAAGTCTTAAAACTGGGGATTTTTCTCCATGTTCTTTGTGTTTTTACAGCAAGCATTCAACGCCACCGCAGTGATCCGTCACATGAGGCGTCTCCAGCTTAGCACTGGCAGTGAGGGACCTGGCCCCACCTTGTCCGATCCGTGCCAAGCCCATCTGCTGATGGAAGAGGAAGGTAAGGGGTAGCATCTGTCTCTTTCCACCCAGTCATTTCTTTGAGCTAGTTTAAGGCCTAAATATTGTGCTTTTCTTCTCTCAGGAGCGCTTTCTGAAGGTGGTTGCTCCCAGAACATGGATGGAGGAGCCGACTCTTTGTCCAACTGCACCTACCGCTGTCACCCAGCCAACAGTGTGTGATACCTAACCCACCTTCATGTACCTGTTGATCCCAATTTACTTTCCAATTTTAACTCCCCTCGGTGGAACCTGAGGCACCGTCTCCCCCTGCTTGTCTGGCTGGGAATACAGCGCCACTCCAACCTCTTGCCTGCAGGGGGAGCAAGACTGTCAAGCCTGAAAGGGAAGAAATATATCGTGTTGAAAAGGAGGTGGAGGGAGACTTGCTGTAATGCTTATGCACCAAGGCAGATCATTTTTGGGATGAGTTGAAATCCATGAAAAGGACGAAGGGAAAGACATCCTCCCCCTCCTTCATGTCGGGGGGGATTGTTTTTACAGAAGCAAGACAGAGCTTGCTGGACGTTTCATTTTAAGAAAATGTTTTCAACTTGTCATTTTATGTTTTATTGTTTGACATTTTTGTGTTATTACCCTCCTTCTTTACGACTTTGGAGCGTTAATCACAGTATGGTACCTGCATGACAACGAGACAAAGCCCCATTGCATGATTTATTTAAAAAAACCAACCAAAAAAAACATGCTGTATTGCAGAAATGCAGTATCACATTATACCAGTAAGATGGAGTATTTGGAAATGTTTTAATGGAAAATGTTGTAATATAGCTATGTCTTTAAAACAATTTGTGGCAGAGCAGTTCCTCCAATAAAAATTATACCATGCAGTTTTATGATGTAGCCTTTCTTTCTCCACCATAAAGTGGTTTGGAGTTGGGAGGAAAAGGCTTCCCTGTTTTCTTTTTATTTCCAACAAATCAAAGTTCAGCAACAAGAGATGTTTTCCTATCTAAGGTGCCTTTTTGAATCCAGTTTCACTTGGTGGTAGCGTTGCTTAAAAAGTGGTTTCTTTTTGTACGATTATGGGATTGTGTGTCTTATGTAAACTTAATTGTAATTTTTCCTAGGTAGAGATAGGATGCCTGCACAAAAAAAAAGTTTTTTTTAACATTAAATATTTGACAAAATCCTGGCTCCAACATTTTTAGTGTGAAATAGTCTTTTTGTATCCAAACTGTAAGATGCTGAAGAGTTTAAAACTGATATTTGCAGTTTTTTTAAAAAATCTGCATCGCCAGTACTTCTCAACACCATTCAGATGATTTTATTAGGAAAAAAAAAATGTGTGCATTGTTTTCACTTGCACCTGATGTCTGCAAACTCTGGCTCTGTAGCAGGAGCACTCAATCATCAGGCATGTAGACCACTATAAATACATAAAAATGAGTCCCACCGTTTAATAAACAGCACTAGTTCGATCAAGTTTTACTAGAACACATTAAAGAAATCATCATTTTATTGCCGAGCTGAAACTGTGTCTGTTCTGACATGCAGCAAAGCTTCTTTCCAAAGTCCAAGAGACACATAATGGATTTGAATTACAGAGGGGCAAAAAAATTTAAAAATTGAGTTTTGCACACCTTTGTAAATAACGACACCTTTATGCATCCAAGCAGGAAACAGAGCTGTGGTCTTCATGAAAACGTGACATTCAAAGCTTATTTAGTGAAGTACTGGCTTTTTTTTATTTCCTGTTCATACTTTTTTAAAATTAATTTTCATTAAATGCATGATTCATAAACTAACTTTTCAACCAGAAGGGTTTTATAACCCCCCAACAAAATTGATACAACAAAAAAAGCAGGCAAACATTTCAGTCAGTTTACAAACCGCTCACATCTACTTTTCTTCAACATGTGTTTCCCAGCCTTAAAAAAAAAAAAACTTTAAACACTGGAATTATGCATCAGATCAACGTGTTCCATATTAATTCACATCGTTTGTATGTATCTTTTTTTATTTCAGTTTTCCCTTTTATTTTTTGTAAAATAAATTTCATTGCACATTTTTTTTAAGATATCTGTTCCTGTTCAGCATGTTTTTAGTGTTGTTTAGCCTCGGTATTTTTGCAAACGCTTTATGCAACTGTTTCTGAATGATCTGGTGGGAACCTGCTGCAAAATCTCAACTGGCTCTGATGGACAATATGAGAATCTTCCTTTGGTGTGGGCTTTGTTTGTAGCCGCTACACATTTAGGCTGTGCACGTCAGTATTTTGCAATTGCTCTTCATGTTGGTTGGATTTGCCTTGGGAATTGTTGATGTCTCAAATGATGCTTGTAAAAGGAGAGACTTTGTCAGACCTTGCTTTCTTTTACATAAATTCACACGGACCGTGAAAGATAACAGGCCAGTATAACAACATTTCAAAAAGTCAAACCTTGTGCTGCTTTGGAAAAATATCTATGAGCTTTATAGTGCAGTTTTACTGGATTGTCCTTGTAGTGTTTTCAGGCTGTAATGAAACTGGTGACTCTGAACTGTGAAGTGCATTTATTGGAGACATTATTTTGGCAGAGAAAAAGTTCAGTATGAATAGTTTAGGTGTCCTGGAGTACTGTAACATTAAAGCAGAAACAGCACAGGGGGGCTCAGAATAAGCCTGTCTGCTTTCAGCTGATTCAATATACAATCTGATGTACTGACAGTAATTAAAACAACTTTACTATTTTGAATTATTGTTATATATCTTTTTTCTGCCCATTTCCTACATGGACAAGCGCGTTAATGTCCTGCCATTCATGTTCACTGGTCTTTCTTTTGCTCAAAAGTGTCTGAAAGGGATGTAACTCGGTTTCATATCATATTTGTACCCAAAGGAAACAAGAAGTCGTGGATTGGTTTAATGTATAGACGCTGATCATTTTAAAAAGTAAAATGTGTTGGTTATGTCTGTTTTGTGTAAATTCTTTGAAGAAGCCATAATTATCTGATTTGACTAAAGCAGAAAAGTTGTTCATCCTTTGTGTTTTATTACACTCGTAATGTTTGATAAGAAATCTTACAATGCTGATAAGAATTGTGAGAGCCGCTGTACAAATTAGTCCTCGGGTCATTAACATGTTGCCTTTTAAAACAATTTTTGGGTCTACACACTGTCAACCATACACACTGATACAATTTATGAAAAACAGGACTTGTTTAGTCTGAAAGTCAGCAACGGGGAACGTTTTCTGTCTGCTTTGAGCTGGTTTAAGCCAAATTAAATCCCCATGTATTTATCTGTTTCTTGTCATGGTCGATTACCTTGTGCTGCACTCTGTGCTATGGATTGGAAATGATTCAGCCATTCTGGAAATTTAATAAGTAACCCTTTACTTGATAGCAAAATAAAACTGTTCGACTTCATCCCACAGGACGGCCTTGTGGGCCTAAGAACTTTGACATGAAGGATACCTTCATGTTCTGCTGTGGGAGGCCTCTCTTGTCCTCTTTGAGGAATGCTGAGCAATTAGGGCTTGTGGTTTGGCTGCCGGGAGGAACCGCAGAGCCGAAGAGAGTGAGAGCGGTGGTCGCTCTCCAGACGGCGGACGGAATAAAAACGATGCAGTCGAGCCAAAAACAAGGAGCTGGTTCGTGATAATGAGAGGGATTCTTCGTGGATTACAAGGTGGAAACGGGTTGAGAGACGCAAGCCATGTTTGGATACAGAAGATTGGAAAAAAATGATTCGAAGATGCTGCCAAAAGTGCTGCACAACTGATAAGTCCATTAAAACCACATCTTTTTCACATTAACTACAAAATAAAATCCCGTTCGTGTTGGTGCTGTCCCCTCCTCTCTGAGCAGGCGGCGGCTGTCCGTGCCTGCGTGGAATGTGAAACGGATTCGATTGAGAGATGAGCCAAAACAGCTTCTGTGATGACAGACTGGGATTCGTCACTTGCGAGAGCTGATTTATTTCTGCGCTGTTGGTAATTTAGACGCTACAGAAGCACTGAGAGCAAATTGCTGATGTGGGAGGATGAGAAGATTTATGAAGCAGACGGCATCCGGCGTACAAAGTCACAAAATCAGAAGCGCATCTGCTGGAAATGTGAACTCAGATTTATAAAACCGCAGCTTCAGATATGCACATAAACTGAAGCTTTATAGGTTTTCTACTTATCATGTGTTAAGTAGTTTTAAAAAATATCCAGACAATTTGAACCTTTTCATATTTTGTCGACACATTTTTATCAAGATTTAACATGAATTAACATGATAAATCAACATGACATTCTCCATAATTATTGATGGGACAATTAAACTTAATTTCTTTTTCTACAAATGAAAATCTAAACAGTGTGCTGACTCTTTGGATTAAGTTACCTAAGTCAATACTATGTAAACTCGCCTTTTGCTACAATGCAAAAGCAGCTTTGTTTGAAAAATACTTCAAGCTCAGTTTGGATAAAGGGCAAATATGAGCAGTTTAAGCTGGATTTAGGTCTGGACTTTGACTGAACCGTTTTAAGAGATTGATATCCTTTGATCTAAACCGTTGCGTTGTAGCTCCGGCTGCATGTTGAGAGTTTTTGTCCTGCTGGAAAATGAATCGTACGATTACAGAGGGGACGGAATGAGCACATTTCACATTTTTATGTTCAAAAACTGCAATTGATTGTTTTGGGTTTTTTTTTTCACTTCACAATTACTATGAACCAACACAATACTTTGATAATCTATCTAATAGAATATCTTCAAGTTTGAGGTTAGAATGTGACTAAATATGAAAGTTCGAGGAAAACATGCAAAAAGGAAAAGAAAAGAAAAAAAGAAAACACCATTGGGAGGCGTTTTGCTGGCTTGTGAGTGAACTTTTTGTCTCCTGTCCAACTATAGCAAACCCTGAAGTTTAGTTCTCTCCAAATCAATAACTTTCTTCTACTTTATGAGCTTATGTGGCTTAGGAAGGAAAAATGTATCTACTGACTCAACCTTGGCTGCATAAGCTTAAATAATTGGGGCTATTTCCGCCCACCTCCTTCATGTATGACTTCACACACCACTTTTATGTCACCTTCACATTTTTCACCAGGAGGCTATTGTGTTAACATCTGTCGGGAGGTTTCTGCGCCCGTAAAGTCCTTGCCGTCCATCAACACCAGTGCTGCCATAAGCAGAATGAGTTTCTGCTATTTGAGATGTTTGCTCGCGTCAGTCCTTTTACAGAAAAACAATGGTTTTGTTTTCGTGTCCAGATTAGGTTGACATACATGCGTGTGTTTGTGCGCGTGTGAACACTTACTCACTTTGAGGTGGCACCCTCATTTATATTGCAAGCCTCAACAGACAAAAAAATGTGAGGCCGGAGTGAGACGTTTAAATCAGGAGCTCTTGCTTTTCTTTTGAGCCAACAAAGTGGAATTTTTCTGCATCAGTACCACTTTAGACCAGCCCTCTGACAGGATTTAAAGAGGGAAACATAATAGCTTTATGTTCACTGGCAACATTCTTTCCACTGCTGGAAATGTTGCATTTCTGTTCTTCACGCAAGTTCTACATGCAGGTTTTTTTTTTTTTTTTTTTTTACACCAAACCACTTCATGCTTCTGTTTCCAAAAAGTTAAATGTTCTTGTAATCCTTAAAAAAACGTCTTAATCAAAAGTTCTTGAGCCTTTCTGAAGTTCTTTCAACAACTTTGACATGTACTGTTTTTGAATTATTGCTCCTGCCGACAGCCTTTTGCGTAGTGTCTTGATTAAAGACGCAGAAAGTGGATAAATGGAGGATGACAGAAGAAACAAGACCTGAAACAGAATCTGAGACATGCGTCATCCTTTGGCTGATCATCAACTAAAGGATTAACCCATAGTTTGTAGTTGCATTTTTAAGTAGGTGAGTTTTTTTTTTTCTTTAAACGAACATGGAAAGTTGTCAGTGTGGCGAGAAGGGTGGACGCACAGCACACAACACGTCGGTCACCGAGAAGCGAAGGAGCAGCACAGAAGAGGCTCAGGTCCAGACACAGAGCGCCGAGCTTCCCTCACCCAGCGGATCAGTGAATTTACATCTGAAAAATAAATTTAAAAAATGCTTCCGAGGCGTCCTACTCAAAGTCTGGCCTTGAATCTAATTTAAATGCCTTTCGTGTGATCTCAACAAGGCGTTTCGTGCTCAAAACACCCAGCAGTGTGGCGGAACTAAAACAATCCCATAAAAAAGAGGAGTGAAAGGAAATTCCTCCGCAATGATGTTATCACCAATTATCAGAAATGTGTGATTGCAGTTCCCGGCGCACCACATCCAGTTTGTAGGTTCAAGGGGTGTTTCCTTTTTGTCCTCCAGCCATATTATGATCTGATTCATTGCTTGAAAAAGCATTTTAGATTTATCTAGGTTATTTCTTTTTCTGATGTTAAAATGTATTTGGAGGATGTGTGACATAAAAAATGGCAAAAGTAGAAATCTGTAAGAGGGCACAAAGGTCATCACTGGTCTGTAAATCTATTGCGCAAATAATAGAAAATGTGTTGGTTTTTTTTGTAGTAAGAGCAACAGATTTTAATAGGACATATTTTCATCCTGAGCTGATGTCTAGCATATTTTCCTTGCATGCCTCTTGCACATTTATTTGATACACGGGGTCAAACAAACCCCAAGCAGCTCAGCCAAATGCAGTTTTTGGCTCAAAACAATAATCAACATGCTAATGTTGTTTAAACCAAAACATTCTTCCCCGCTTCCATACTTCCTTCGGCCTCCGCGACAGTGCAAAAAGTAATCGCAGGCTGTTTCAATTTGCACAAGAAGCTGTACTTTTGAGGTGCTGGAACGCTGCAGGGGGACCGAGACTTAAATGAACAGTGAAATCACCATCTGATGATGTGCAGCTTTCTTTTTCAGACACCTTAGTGCAACTCTTTAGGTTTGTACAGAAAAACTCAGTCTAAAAGTGGGACAGGTTGTCCAATAACGAATGCAATGTTTCTAAAACAGTCTGGAACAAGTCCGGTAGGTCTGAGAACCGAAAGCTGTACATCTTCTTGAAAAGGCAGAGCATTAGCTTGTGAAAGGCTCCAGGCCCTCAAGGTCTTGAGTGACTCTACAAACCACAGTTGGTAATTATAAACAGGATGGAGAAAAGGATGAAAAACGAGACATGGAGAGTATCTGGCTGAATGAGGAGAGCCACTAATTTTTCACTTTTGGGAAAATTCAGCCTGCAATTAGGGTCATGCACTGCCAAAAACTTGACATATGTGCAACTTGCATTAATATATTGGACCGGATTCTGAGATGACAGCAAGAGAGAGAAAAAAAAAGAGGAGCTGGAAAGATGGAAAACAATGTCATGCTTTTGGGTTTTTCTTTGTTTGTTTGGTTGTTGTTGTTGTTTCTGCACCTTTTAGTCAGTGAGTCATATACACAAAAAGGGATGTGATCAAGTTTGTGGGGCCATTTATTCAAATCCGGGCCGTAAACACAAATGCACACTGAAATTCCAGGTAACCACAGATTACTCCTGAAGGAGGGAATGAGTGCCCTTATGAAATACTCTCAACCGCTGCGTGTCGTGATATATAGCCTTTCCCAGTTTTTGGCATTTAGACTTGTTTTGTTGCAGACTCCCCGTTTTTTTTTTTTTTTTTTTTGTTAGACTGCAAATAAAACTCATTCTTTGTTAAAGACAAATGCCAAATGTCATTCTGGAAAGTGTTTATTAAAGGATAATTCATGCTAGGACGTTATGCTCAGGCTTGTTTTACAGGATCTGTTCATTCCAAAGTTTAAGCTGCTGAGCTGCGAGTTAAATCAGGTCCACCATGCTCCGCTAAGCAGAAAGATATGATGGAAACAATATTTTTCTCACAGCATAGTGGCTGCATTTCAGCCATCATGTGCTACATAAAAAAAAAATAAAAATCTATATTCTTTTAAGGGATCCTGAAGTTTTCTCTCATTTTAAAAACTGCAGCATTGAAATATCACTTTGTACTTTGTATAAAGCAAAGTGTCCAGTTTTTAATTGCAGTTCTGCTCCAATACACATTAAATGACTGGATGATTTCTAATCAGAATCATCTTCATGATAACATCCATTTAGACTACTGACAAAAATCTACACATTCTAAGCATTGGGTCCCCTGTAAGCTGCATGTCCTGTTGTTTACAGTGTCTAACAGAACTCGGCATCATGTCAAGAAAACTGCAGCAAGGCCCAGAATTATGAAACATGAAGGAAGTCAAACAGGACAGAGGAGACGGTCAGAGGCTTTCGGAGGAGACGACCTGGTCACACACCCTCAGCATCTGCAACTAACAGAGTAGACAACGTCAAAGTCCTTGGAGTAAAGATCTCTGATGAATTCACCTGTCTGAAAAATATTGCTGGTCTTGGGAATCAGGGAAATGCAGTATAGCAGACAAAAGGGCACCGCACATAGGGAGAGGAGTTGAAAAGGTAATTTAAGTGACCTAACATATGTCCATCTGTTTTCAGCAGCTGCCGCATGAACAGGCTTGTAAATATTGCCCAGTGCTTCTCGCATCCTCCCCGAGAATTTTTCATCTATATGAATGGTTTATTGATTTTTAAAAAAAAAACTTTTTTATTTTCTTAAACATTTACAGACCAATGTCCTGAAGAGAAAGTTTCTCTCATTTAACTGTGGCCCAGTGGTCTCAAACTCCAGACCTAGAAGGCCAGAGTCCTTCAGCTGTTAGATGTCTCTCTGCTTCAGCACACCTGACTTCAATATCAGCTGGAGCTGTGCAGAGTGTGACTCCATATTAGTGAGGCAGTTTTGTCACTTAATTAAACTGTGGGAAGACAAGGAACACATCTAAAAGTTGCATCAAACTCAGATCCTCAAGGATGTGCTACTGACTGGAAGGTTCAAGGTGTTTTCAAAATACAACATTTGAGATCTTGTACACGGACATGATAATAAATAAGTGTTTCTGGTAGATTTACTGTCACCCTCACCGGCTTTTGCTTTTGAAATTCAACTATTTTTCACAAAGCTATTCAGAATCAATCAACAAAAGGGCTGCCAACTGTAAGCCTACGATTAAACAGGCAAGAAAGTTGAACATCAAGCATTCATTTTATTTTGCGTATTTGTATTATCTTTGTGAGAGTTTGGAGAGTAAGGATTTCCAAAATATCCCCCAATGATCTCATCATCAGAGTGCTGGACCATCGAACAGCTCTTTCATTTTCAAATTGACCTTTTTTTTTCACATGTTCAGCCTCCTCTGCTCTCTGAAGTAGCTGCAGCTATCAACTAGTTCATCTGTCATTTATAATTAACCTCCAACATATCATTTAACATGCTGTAACCCTTGAGCTCACAATTAGTCAGGATAATCTTGCTGGACATCCATCCAGAATGATGGGACGTAGTTCTGATTTAAAAAGCCAGTGTAAACTTAACCTGAAAGTGGCATGCAAACCCCCGCTCACTAAAATGAACTCCAGACGCGACACAGCACCGTCCCCCCTGCTGATGAACAGTCCCTCCAAATTTCCAAACAACCAAGATGGGAAATATGGCAACCCTAAAGCTATCCCACGTGTGACCACCAGATACAAAAACAGATTGTCAGAGGTAACAACAAACATATGAGCTTTGACTCCTCCTGCGTTCCCTGCAGACCTTTCCAACAAACACAATAACTGCAGGAACATTTACAAGTGAAGAATAAAGAGAAGAGGAGTTTAAGGGACTTGGGAGTAGGAACCAAGAAATCGTTATTAGCTCATGTATGAAGGTATTAACTTTCCCTCACAAAGGAAAAGCAGATGGATTGGAGGGGGGAGACTGAGCCTCATGAAGGATAATTTGTTCGAAAGAAATGTTGTGTAATCAGCTCGTTTGTTTGAAAGCAGGGAGGTGAAATATATACTCACAGTAAACACGCACACACACACACACAAAAGAAAATCAGTGCACTCTTAATTATTCATCTGAACGTTCAATGTGCCGCTAATGGACCGAACAATTTTATCTGGAGCAGTTCTCGCTTTTGTTGTGGGTCGCCAAGATGCCTGTGTTGCATTTTCCTTTCTGTCTGGGATATCCAGACCAGGCTGGCTGTGCAGAGGTTTGGAGTAAAACATATGCAACATCTGAGGTTAAAAAAACCACCAGTTGTTCGATCTGTAACAGAGGATGACGGGCAACACTGAACTTGAATTTGGCAGTAAACGTCGTTGGGGATCCATTTTCCCTGGGATCTAAAAATGATTCCAGCTGCGGTTTACAGTCCCTTGCAAAAGCATTTACATTACTTCAGTTTTATTAATTCTAAGATTTTGTCACTTTGCATCAAGTGACTTTTTTTATTTTGTCGCTTTATAACTAGTGTCAGTATTTTATTTGAATTTATTAGACTATGATAGCACAACAGTACAAAGTTGTGCGCCACTAAGAGACAAACACAAAACCTGGTTTTAAAATAGTTTATAAATGTTTATTTTTGTCAAAATGCCTTTTAATTTCAGTTCCAGGTCCAGGTCAAATGAAGTGAGACTCTTCCAGCTTTGCACATCTAGAGAATAAAATTCTTGACTATTATTCTGCAGAATAGCTGATGCTGAACTTTTAAGTTTATGTTCGTAACAGGATAAAAGTCGTAAATTGGTTGAAATTCAGTCATCATATTTTTGTGCTTTTGTCTTTGTAGAAATGCGTGTGTGTTCCTTTTTTGGACAGCTCTTGCATTTATTCTGTTTTCCTGTTGTCCTTGCTTCCTTGCCACCTTTACTTCTTGAATCTTGAGTCCTTCTTTTATGTAAATAATTTTCTAATGTTTTTTTTCTTAATATTTACTATTCTATTGCCACGTGCCAATTTTACAGTTAATTTAAATTTATTTTCAAACTTATGCACAATACAAAAAAGTTCTTCATTGATAATATTATACTTTATAGCTTACTACCGAACAACCTGAGTGAGCATTTGCGATGTTTTAATCTGAAATAACGGGAGATAGAAACAATGTTTGTGCTACAGCTATCATGCTAACAAAAAGCCACCTTAACTTCAAGCTATGATGGCAAATCATGACGTTTTGAGTTGAAAACATTTGGTGGGGTTTTTGTGTGAAAGAAGGACATATGGAAACAAGTCAATCGCAAACTGAAGGATATCTTAACTGATCAGACTCTGCTGGATTACTTAAGGAAAGAAATAAAACCAGAACCAGATAGAGTAGGTAACAGCATTTGACAAGATGAAAGAAGGGTAAATGAACAAATCATGTCAGCAGAAAGCCGGCTCAAATAGCCTCCTCAAAGGGACCACCTCTGAGCAGCCACATTGTTTGACATCTGTTTTGCAGCTTTGCTCTGTGCAGCGGTTTGTGTTGAGAAAGCAGCGTGCGTATATCATCTTTGGCCCAGATCCAAGGGGTCCGGGCCACTGGCGAGGTCGTCCAATGCAGGCCTTTCATGGGGAGGGCAAACAGCCAACAAATTGGACAACCAGCGATGAGCCGTTCCACCAAAATCTTCCTGCTTAACGTTAGGCCTTAAATGATTCACTATATAATTATTTGCTAAGTACACTAAGCATTTCTGTAAGCCGCCTCGTAGGAAAGCCCCCGTACTTTCTTTTTGTTTTTACGTTTCTGTGTTTGTTTCTTCTCTTTCTGTGCAAAGAGCTGCATGCCCCCGTTAATGGTTAACACAACTGAGCCCTGGAAGAACATTTGATTTAGGTTTCCTGAAAAGACTGTTGGAAATTTCACTTGTAAACAACATTTCACATCAGTCCGAAAATGGTGGAGTGACCCACGCAGGAGTAATTTTCATTTCGGATTAATGATGCCCTTTGATATTGTACCTGTTCTCGGACACTTATAATTTCATAGGCTATGAAGAACACGAAAACATACTCTAATGCATGCATCGTTTCTTCGTTTTAAAACATGGAGGTTATGGGAACATTCCTAGAGGGTTCTGAAATTCTCACCTAAGTTTAACAGCGCTCACAGCTGTCAGGGGCTGTTTTCTTCTTTTCTTGGCGAGACATATTTCCAGACACATTCATCTTAAAACATTAGTGTTCCAGATTTTTGAACATTAACTTATGTTGACCCCCATACTGCAATAACATCAGGAAACAAATCATAAGAATCACATCTGATTCAGATTGGAACATGAAAACTTTTTTTTTTATTTCTTGCTGACTGCCTAAATCTGGAGAACTGTGAGAGACAAGAACATGTAATGTTAAAAACATAAATCTTCAACAGCACAAGACTCAAACTAATATATCACTGGGATATATATAAAGCTGGCACTCTGTACTGAAAGCAGCGTTCAAGAGGAATATTACATTTCACAGATATCACTGTAAAGGGTCATAAAGAAAATTTTAATTCAACATGTCACACATGCCATTAATAACCAGAGGATAACTTTTTTGAAAAAGATAATTTATTTTTTTTTTTCAAAGCTGCTTTATATAAAAGATGTTGCAGCAATGGAAAAGCTTAGGGTATAAATGAAACAGAGCAAAAACCAAAGCAATCACAGAATGCTTCATAAAGACAACCTTCATCTCTGACACGCAATAAATCAGCCTTAAACCATATGATGCTCCGCACCAAATACAAAACCAACAAAAAGAAAACATAATCACTCAAAAGTGGTTTATTGAGAGAAGTAATGTGTTGTGATCTTAGCTACGACAAGCCAAAGGTGGCAAATTCACATGTAAAAAAAATATATAAAAATAAAAAAATGTTCTTTTCATAAACATGTTGTGTATGGACACTGGCTTAACTTTGAATAATGACAACAATGTAAAGAATGGAACAGAAGAAACTTCTCTTCATCAATGTCTCATTAAAAAAAATGGACTGTACATATTTATAGCATGACAACATTTTAATCCAAACACTTCCACCATTTGGTCCATGTCCTCGAGATTAGTTCTGTGGAAAACCTTTAAAGACAGACCTGCTCAAATAAAACAACGCAAAGCATCTTGACTTATGAGGCAGCACCATTCAAGCCATTTATCACAATATTTTTAGTGTTCACAATTAACATATTAGCATATGTTGTGTTCTGCATTTCATAGGCAAGATCATAATATTGATACAATGCATGATGTGTCCAGCACTAAAAGAGAGAGAGAAAGTCATCAAAAGGCATATTGCGTGATTTATCACTGAAGACAAAAAAAAAATAGTTATTTCTGCTGCTATTAAACCAATGAGTGCCTAGGTTTTTAGCTTCTTTGGTGGCACTTTTTGAAGTTCTTGGTTCTTTTGGTCTTGGGTAGTGTCCTGGTCAGGGTGAGTTTGGGCCACCTTTGACTCATGGAGCTGTTTAAGGCTGAGTGTCTGCTGCTCCTTCGTGGTTTCTCGTTGGGCCAGACGCAAGAGACGTTTCAGAGTTTTCACCTTTTCCTTCAGGTGGCCGTTGGCTTTCTCCAAAGTACGCACTCTCTGGGAGAGAGTCCTCACTCGCTCCTCCTCCTCAAACAGAGCTTTCTGAACTGTGGAGCACAACAGCTGAGAAGAGACAGAAAAAAAATAGAGCGTTGGTTATTCAAGTTTTCCACAAAAGCAATTTTTAGTAAAAAAGGGGAAACTCGCATGGATAAATGTCAGTAGCGAATAATTGTGACGTGGAAGAAAAGTGACACGTAATTCAAGTGGACAGAAATAAAAAGATAGCTTTAGAAACTGTTTTCAACCAAATATCAGAAAAACTCTTTGTATATTTGAATACTGACCACTTTCATTTTATAGAGGGAGACCAATATCATGAATCTTTTCTTTGCAATGCACAGTGTTACCTCCAAGATATTATTTTGCATCAGAAGAACTTTTGATTTTTATAAATATTCTGACTAAAACGATGAAAACATATTTTTCTTTCCTATTGGTTGACAACATTAAAATGTGCAACTGCTACTTTAATAACAAAGTGAAGCTTTGATTAATTAGTGAAAAACATGGCAATGCCTTATGTAATAAATTGATTCAGAAACGAAAGATTTTTTTAAAATAATGCTGCCATGATATTTCTTTGTTCTGACATGTTTCATGTTCTGTTGTTTCAATCCAGCTGTAAGGGGTGCGTGTCACCCATTTTGGGAAGCACAGATTTTGTAATCCACCCCATGTAACACTTATGTCTCAGCTGTTTATCTGATGCGCTGTTGCTGACATGATGCAAACGTCCGCGACAGCATTTTGGAAGCAAAACCAACCCAGGCCAAAGTTTTGCACGTAACTTTAAATTTCTATTTACAATGAGTTTGTAAAACCAGTATCAGTTTTATGGATTTTGGTTTAATGTTACTGATATGCACCATTTGCTCCATTTGAAGAGGTTAGTAGTGATATTGAGAAGATTTACAAGAGTCATAAATTCAGGGCTAACGCATATAAATCAACTAAACAAAGTTTCTGTTAGTTGATGTCACATGGTTACTTGGGAACTATTCTAAGACCTGCTAAGGGCTTGAGCTGACCCCATAAAGTCATAAAAAAGAAAAAAAAAACTTTTTGTTACATGTATGATGTAGAACTGCTATTTGGATACGGCCTATTCTTTGTGTAAGTCACATGAGGGAACGCTGCTGACAGGCTCTTTGGGCCCAGAGCCTGAATCAACAGCTCACAAGTCTTCCAGGATATTCCCATGTTTGTATAAGAATGAGCCAAAAAAGGATTATTTTTGGATTCTTGCAGCTTAAAACAAGGGATTTGGGAAGAGAAACAAAAAACACTGAAGGGGAACAATGTGAAGGCAATCGCGTTTCTCCTGCGTCTTGTGTGAAGTAGAGTGTGGTGAAAATGAGGAAGAGCCAAATTCAGATGTAGCTGCAGACGAAGATGTGTGAGAAACTCTGTGACTTTTGCGCTTTTGGATCTTCCAGCAGAGATCGATACTCCCATCTTGTTTCTCATGTGGAGCACTGAGTGCATATAAAGGGGGCGGCATTTGATTGGCTCTCTGAGTGATAAAAGGTTTCATGTTAGTGATGAAAATTTTGTGTGCTGCCTCTGCCCCTCTTTCTTGCGGTCCTCTTCTGTTTTTCTTACATCAGAGAAAAACATGACACATTTCAGATCTACCTATCTGTAGCATCCAAACATCCATGCATCATCCAGTCCGTATTGGATTTCTTTGTTTTAATGATAGCAGTTGATTATAATCAGGCCTAAAAAGCAACCTGCCTATTACATTTTATTTTCTGGAGTCATACATCTGACAGAACTCAGGAATAACTGTGGACTCCCATTAAATTTAATACAAGAAATCTGTCCTGCAAAAAAGTTTTTTCCATTTAAAACAAGCAAAGCAAAACTTAAACTAGGTTTATCTAGGCATGACTTGGAGAGATGAATACATCCCCTTGTCTTCTGCAGTGCACTTTATGCTGGTGTCAGTCAACCATCTCTAGTTCTTCTTCACCTTTTTCAAAGTGCTGATGGGGGTATCTGTATACATGAACACATCTCATCTGATCTGGCCTCTTTCTCCTCTTTGCCTTTTAGTATCTTCTCACTTTGTATCTTTCTTTGCAAACCTGCAAGCGCTGACCAGCTGCTTCTAGTTTCCCAGGTGGAAGTTTAAAGGAGCTCAACGTTTTCTGTTATGACTCCCAACCTTTGGAACGAGCTGCCTTTAAACATTGGACTTCTCTTCCTGTGTTTAAGTCTCTTTTAAAACACATCTTTTTTCAATTGTTTCTAATCACTTGTGAATTGATATGCTCGTATTATCTGTGTAGTACTTTCGAGTCTTTTTTTCTTTGTGTTTTGTTTTTCTTTTTTTTTTAATCTATTTTTGTCCGTATGGCAAACATTCAGTTTTTAAATGAACTTAATAAATAAATTGGATAAATAATTTTGATTTTGGATTTGAAGTAAGTGCAACTTCACATCAAAAACAAAAGGCAAAGCAGAATCAGATTCTAATAACAAACTGAATAAGCTTGTCTGCATGTGAGCTGACGAGAATAAAGACATGCAAAAATTATTCTTATCATAAAAAAAACCTTGTGTGAAGTAGAGTGTGGTGAAACCAGCCAAGCAAAGTCTCTCTGTTTCATTGAGACACTGTTGTGAGCTGAAAGCCAACATGCCCGCAAAGCTGAGACAGACGATCCAAAGACCTGAACCCTTCCTGGCTAAAACAAAAAAATTACCTCCATATGGCTCTGACTGTGTTTCTTAGATTTCCTCAGCAGACTCTAATGTTTCCACATGGGCCAGCGGGACAACCGATGTAAATTCTCTGCCATCAGATAACAACCACTGAGGGTTTTGAGGAAATGTAAAAAAAAAAAGTGCTGCCGACCCACATCATTGGCTAGAACTTTACTTGTTGTAATATTAGCTGTGCAGTCTTTCCATGTGCTTTCACTTTGTTCCCGGAGGACTTTATGTGAAAGTATGAAACTTTCAAGCGGAAAAGAATCACATTTAGACACCGAACAGGGAAAAGCAGAAAGTGTTAAATTTAACAACTTACCAACTTTGCATTTTTTGTGCCCACAAATGATTTTTACATGAGGACACACTCGGTCTGCGGTGGAGCACTCCAAGATTATGGCTGTCAGAGTTACTGAGGTTTTTCAGGAAAGGTAGCAGCTGCTGCCATGTAGTAGTTGCCATGTTTCAGAGACTTCTACTTTACTTCTTACTGATTTTCTTTCGCCTCCTATGCAACATATATGTTTAAACTTTTTTTTATGAAAGAATTTGTGGATTATGTATAATTTAAATATAATTTGATCAGTAGCTACAGGATTGCAGGTTCACTTAGGCCTCAGAATCAATTAATATTTCATTTTAACCCAGAATGAAACAAACTGTCATTCTAAATTGTCCAGAGGATGTTGATGAAGTAATGTATTGGGAGAGGAGCAGTGAATGTCTAAAAAATATCGGGTTTTTTTATGCGTCAACAAAAGTATCTTTATTGGCCTGTCAGTTTTCATGATGACCAACTGTTGTGCTGGTGGATAGATGGCACTGCTTCTCTCTGCTTCATATTTCAAGTAAAAAAAAGTCTGCACATACTCTGCAACAACTTGTTCCCTATTTTGGATAAGAGAAAAAAAATTACATCATTCATCTCTCTCAAATTTCTCGCTCTGGAAAATCTAGATCATCTGGGTAAACTTTTGTTTTTTTGTGTGGTCTCCTACAACGACTGTGTGATTGGTGAGAAATGTGACGTCGTCGTGCTTGATCCACAAAAGCAGAGAAGATTGACGTCATCTTGAGTTCGGCACAGCTGTTTCTATTAAAGTGAGGTCCCAATTAGAACAATCTTTGTTCTAATTCTTCCTACCTGGAGTGAAGAAACGTCTCGGACCTTCCAGAGTACGTACAGACCACAATTCAACACAGTGTTTGGTTAAGGATTGAACAGCAGACACTTTATCTTTTTACTTCCCAACCTGCAAGTCTGGTTGGTTTCAAAATTCTTGCTGTGGACACAGTCGAAAATGAAAGTCTACAAGTGGTTGTGAATACTTATTTACTGCTGCAGGTAAACATGTAATGCTTGTGTACTTAGCGGTAAATAACTTGTCCTGTTTTCAAGCAGCAAGAGGCACAGTGGTATGGTTGTTTCCAGGAGATCAGCCCTTATATTTGCCCCACTAACTGCTTTGCTGCCCTGCCTACCTCTCCACACACACTGAAATGTGTCTGCTCTCACTCAGCGAGCTTTGTTTGCTATCTCCTTTCTTTCTAATTGTTTTTCATTGATGTCAGAGATGTAATGAGGGGTAGGAATGTTTACAAGGATTTTTTTCCCTCTATTTATAAGGTAAATACACTGGAAATACCTATAATTTTCTCCTAAATAGTTAAAACAACCCAAAAGTTAAATAGCTCAAGGGCATAAAAACAAAACCAAGTCAATCAAGTGCAGCAGAACATGTTTCAATAAAAAAAAACACACAAAAAAACTTGAATCGTGCCACAGTAAACTGAAAACAAGTGTATAGCCAATGCCTATTAATGTTGTAATCTAGAGTCCAAATCGTCCTACTTTACCACTTAAATCACAGTCAGCTCAAGCATGTTCTTATAAGTTTGATCAAGAGTAAAGGACCATTATGTTTCTAATTTTGAAGAGGATTACTTATCGAAACAATGATCTATTCGAAAAAATGCAGCTGCGTGTTTAGAATCACAGCCCCGATCCAAAGGTTCACGGAAATCCATGGCAGATTTCTTTTTGTAAGAAAAGCCAGAAAATAATTGTAGACAGACGAAAAACAAGGCCGGACTAAATCTGATGTATTAGATGGAGCAAATTCACAATTTTTACATAATACCATAATTTAGGAAAAGGCACACATTTTACTACTAAGGGATCAGCATTGATGTTTAGATGGGAAAACAACTCTGCTCAACAACATCAAGTTATTTTGAAAAAGAAAAAAAGAAGGGCAGGGTCCTTCTTTTATGAGGTGCATGGGTTTGTGGGAAGTCTCAAAAGTATTTTATGTGTAGCAGTATATTTGATACTGCAATGAATGTCCTATTCCTGGCTTTAATTTTCTTAACAATTCAGTTATTAACTCTCGTGCTTTTTCAATTTTCCTTCAGACATTGCAAGTTCTCTGTCTTGCCAAACCTCAAGAAATGTGCTTCTGGTTTCTCATGCATTAAGAACATTTTGACATGCCAGCTTTTTCCATCATTTCATCGAAAACAAACGGATGTGAGGCCTAATCCTTTTTTGTGTGTCCCATGGTATGTCCAACTTCTTTTGAGGGTAAACTTTTGTGCAACAGTTACAGCTGAACCAGAATGGGCTATTTGACCAAAAGCCTGAAGCAGAAAACTCAAATGACTCTTTTCAAAGTCAAACTTATATACATAGCTCTGTTGTGTCCACATTAGAGGACACAACAGTAGAGGTCAAATGTCAAGACCTTGAGGGCCAACTCCGAGTTAGCTCCCACGTTTTGAAGGAGTAATTCAAAATCAAGCCAAGTTAGGTTTTTTAGAGGTACGTCTAGGTAAAGTCCCAACTATTCCAGTGCTGGTCTGATTTGAGGCTTAAACCTTTGAGGAACAGGTCAATGTCAAGACAAATCTCTTAGATCAAAGTGCAAGTCAAGTTGAGTCTTTAAAAGGCAAATGTAACACAAGTCTTTACAGGGTAAATCCAAAACTCAAGTTTAAGTTCAAGTCTTCGGATTAAACATTGCGTATCCATGCCATGTAGTTTGTCAAATACAGAGAAATACTGTAGGTTATGAATGTGAAAAATTATCTACAAGCCAAATATAGCGCATGGAGATGTAACATCAGTATCACCATCTATTTCATGTTCAATTCAGAAACAAAACTGTGATTACATGCTGTGAATTGTGGCAAACAAAGCAAACTGTATTTAATTAGCAAACAACATGCTTTACAGATTAAAAACAAAACAAGCCAACACTCAAATGACGCCATACAATAGCTTCAATCCAGTAGAAATATACAAATGCATAACGAGCAAACATATGCACATATGCCTAACAGGCATATGCACTATGTCGCATCCCATCAAATCTTGAACATCTAACTGAAGGTTTACCTCAGTAAACTATGAACGTGCATTTACATTCATAGACACCAAGTGAAAAAAAAGATTAGTTAATGTCAAATTTCTAAATTAATACGTCTAACATAAAGAGCTAAAAGTGTTTTCATAATGAGGCCAGCTCAATCCCAAAAGAGTAAGATGTCGAAGATAAATTATTTTTATTTTGTTTTAACATGAATCTTTGGTCATTTAATAAATGGTTCAGTGTTAAAGACGTCTGAAATCTGCCCATATCAGTTCTTAGTTTATGCATCACGTGTACCTCGTGCCAGAAGCCCATTGAAAGGTTGTTAACACCGCTGTAAACTGTGTGACTGTGATCGTGAGTGGGAATAAAAATACTAATAGGTATTTTGTTCCGTATAACACAGTAGGAGTGTAACCAGTAAACCTTTTGTGGATGCAAAGGCAAGAACTTTGTGTTTTTGTGTTTGTTATGATGCAAAGCGCTTTGAAATGCCATGCTGCTGGAATGTGCTATACAAATAAAATTTGATTGATCGATTGATCAAACACACCCTGAAACATGAGAACCTGCAGTCAGTGGCTTACTGACTATAAATGTTTACTTAATACTGCTGATATTAAATAAAAACAGAGGAAGTCAAAAGCTGCTGTTTACTCCTTTTCCTGCCAAGAAACATTGGAATCCAAACCTCCTGTGTGTAACATCACCATGACAAATCATGTGTATATACAATACTTGCCCAGAGGGAATTTTTACATTAATATTTACTCATTTGGTCTGCACTTGCTGACTTTTATCATTTATTACACATCAGATAAAAACTCTTAGAACTTGACTGAGGATCAAATTTAGAGTCTTTACCTGAGCAAGTCTGAGTCAAGTTTAGAGTCTCTGTTTTTTGCAACGTGGGTGTAAGTCACCGACATCAGTCACCATCTTCATTGCGTACGTACCCGGCTATCCTCTTGGGCCTCCCACTCCGGAGTGAAGCTGTGGACTTGAGTTCCAGGTGTGCAATTGGAGAACTGGAAGAGGCTGGCAAACATGCGGTGGTTCTCTGGAGTGTCAGGGAAGATGGGGTCCTGGAAATTAACTCCGTGCGGAATAATGTTGTAGTTTTCATCCATCCTAGATGGCAAAAAGAGCACAAATACGCTTAATAAAGAAAACAACAGCAACAACAACAACAACAAAAAAAACAAAGCAAAATGTTTGCATGTCTGACTAACTCCAAATGAAAATACACGTCAATATGAATTTATTTGTGTAGCGCGTTCATAAAACAACAGATGGCGACCAAAGTGCAGAACAACTCAATAAAATTAAGTTAACATGACAATAACAGGGTAGCACACACATGCAGGAAACAAAAACAAAAAAAACTATGATTTTGCCTTCTCGCTAAGTATGAAAGTTCACACAGGAAACCTGCTAATTCATTGCATAGATATACCTGTTAACATTTAAAAAATATAACTATGCAATTTGCTGGCAGACTTTGATTTAACATTATAAAACCCAGAGAAGCGTGTGGATGACTCAACCAGTAAATTACAAGGTGAGAGGGATTTATGAAGTGTGCTTCAAATCTGCAGGAAGTTTTGTGTTATTCATCTGGATTTCATTTCAAGGCCCTCGGGGATCGTCCTCTGCCTAGCAGTCCCTATCAGAGGCTGTGCCGTAGGTATGTTAAAGTGGTGAGGGAGAGCTCATGTTTTTCTTCAGCACATGATGTCAAAGGTTAGATGTAATCACGGGGACTAAAAGTATTTGGAATTGCAGATTCAGGGTAGACAAACCTAAGGACGGCAGAAAAGAAAAAAAAAAAAGAAGTGAACTAACAGAATATCAGGTACAGTAACTGACAGTGAATATCGATCATTTTTAGCATCAATGCGATGAAGTTTTCTTTAACAGAGAAAGTTGAACTCCAGAGAGAGCAAAAAGTGGGCCAAATATTTTTCAGCAAACGTATGGCTTTAGCAGCACTCTCAGTCTGTTTTTATGGTTCCTGAGGGATGTCCTTCGATAATTTTTTTCAGTGTTAGGCTGTGATTTATCCTGTCTAGGGAGCATGTACTCATGATTGACTGGAGAAGCTATTTTTGTTCAGGAAGATGTTTTGGGGGAGAGGAAAACAAATGTCCCCTGTGGACTTGGTAACAGCTCTTCTGTAAATAACTATTGCTAAGCAGCCTCAAAAAAACTGATTCAAAAGGAATTTGTAATGAGTTTATGGAGAAGCCACACCCCAAGACACTAAGCATCGAAAGATGTACTTTATTTTAAATAATTCATATTTGAAATAAAGGTTATCCAAAGTTTACATTTGTGCTGCAAATTTTATGTAACATAAAAAAACCTCTTATTTAAGCCTAAAATAAAATCTGGTGAAAATAGGAACCTTACTTCCTACTAACCTTCTGCTGCTTACTGGATTTTGTTGGAGACCCGTAAAAAGTAGAGGATAATTATAAAGTTAAAGTTAAAATGATACATGGGGTCACAATTTTTTCTAACAAATAAAAAACCTAAAAGTACAGCATACATTTGTGTTCTGCTATTTGAATGAATACTTTATGGAACCAAATCTGACTGCAATTATCAACAGAAAATCATTTTGAGTATAGATATCTTCCACTTTAAGTTTAGATAGTAAAACTCCCATTTTTTAAAATTCAAATTCAAAAATACTTTATTGATCCCAAAAGGAAATTCTTGTAACTGGTATTAATTCAGATTCTTCAGAGAGTTATTGTAGATTGTGATGGCTGTTGGCACAAAAGATCTCTATAGTGTTCTGTATTACGGAAAGTCTGAAGAAGGCTATGGCTGAAGACAATCCTTTTTTCACAAGAAAGTCTCATGAAGAGGATGGTCAGGGTTGACCATTGTTTTCTTGATTTTTATGAAGTATCCTTCTTTGCATCATTTCCTGAGCTTACGTCTCCCAAAAGAGTCCATTGGTCACACTGAATTTTATTTAAGGGTGTCAGAGTAAATGGGTCTCAAACAGTAAGATATATAAATTTCCTTCTGTTTCACATTTACCCACTGCTTTGTGTTATTCGCAATAAAATACGTTAAAGTTTGAGTAACTTGGACACAAGGCACATTAATGACAACCTTTAAGAGAAGCCCTAATAAAAGATGTCCATTCTACATGCAATAGAAGTATTTACCATTCTCAGAGTCAGAGAACCTCCAAGCTCAATGGCAACAATTGAACACATGTTATGGGTCTTTTTTTTTTTTTTTTTTTTTAGTTATTTGTGCATATGTCAGAACTTTTGAGAAAAGGTTAAATGAATTGCAGAATTTCTTAAGAAACAAAACTGAACACATCAGTGAGAGGGTGCAACTGGGTCATGCATGTCAAATTAGGACAGCAAGTCTGCACACTCAAAGTGTTGGAGGCAAACTGCTCCAAACATAACAAATGATGTAGCCTTTTAAACATATGTGGAATAATGCAAAAGGGAAATGAACACCCCCAACCCCCTCCCAAAAAAAAAATATATATAATAAATCTTCATTAGACTCCTTTGGGTACCATAACAATTCACCCCAGATGCATGCATGGCGGTTATTCATTTATAACTCAATAGGGCCCATGAATAGAGGATGCAGACACTGGTCACCTTAGGAAGAAGTAGTAGTTGTTGTTTTCGGTGACGCTGTAGGAGAAGCAAGGCAAGTATCCCAGGCCACTGACGTTGAACCTGGAGCCAGCGGGGACCTCCAGCATGCTGCCCCAGGACTGGTCGCACAGCAGCTCGATCTCCGCGGAGAAGAGCAGGTCGGTGTCGTGCTGCCACGGCAGGTAGTTGTACACGCTGTAGGACTCTTTGTGCAGAGCCAGCACCTTGGCAAAGACGATGATCTCCGCCAGCTCAGCGCGGCACGCTTCCGTCTGCGGTCTCCAGTCGTGGGGCAGCTGACACCCCCAGCTCCCATCGGCGCCGCCAGCTGCCAAAACAAACCCCAGAACAATCCACATGATGCGACGGAGAGGACACATCTGTCGCTCCGCTGTGCGCATAAAGGCGCACCAGACTCCGGGTGGATGCAATTAAGTGGCGGGGCGGGGGGCAAAAAAAAAATAAATAAAATAAATTTAAAAAAAAAGGTGTTTCACATGTGTTTTCAGTTGTGCAAAAATAATTTTTCTCCAGATCTGTTGCAGAATTTCTGCAAGATGAACAAGCCCCGAAGATCGCTTCAGTCAGGGTGATCCTTCTAACTTGTCCGACCAGAGCTGCAGCCGAACCACGCCACCAGCATCTTCTGCACGAAACTGCCTCTTTACCTCTGAGACAAGGCGAGAAGCAGCAAGGGGAATAAGTTTGTGAACCCATTTAATTAAAGTTTCTCCAAATTACTATGCAATAAAAAGAGCCTCTGGTATTCCTAATAGTTTTTACGTTATGTTAAAGATAACTCATTTCAACAAATCCTTAGAAAAGTTTAAAGATTAAACAATTAAACTGATAAGATGTTACGAGCGCCCTCTGATGGACATCTTGAGAACGACAGTGTTTGGGTTAATTTCTTTTAGATTTTAATGAGAAACTAAAGTTTTCATAATGACAATACTTTACCATACTTAGATGATTTATTCATATAACTACTCAACTTTGCAAAATGTTTGAACTCAACTCCATTTTACGTTATTATTTAATTGTATAGTTTTTGTGTGCTTAGCTATTGTTTTCTGCTTTAGAGCCTGTGTTTCCTGTCACTTCATTTTGGTGTCTTTGAAAAAAGCTCTATAATAAAGACATGTTTAATTCATTGCTTCTTTGGAAATAATGTACATGAGAAACTAATTGTAGATTACGTAAACATATATTTACTTTCCTATTTTTAACAATGTTCTTCTGTTGTAGAATTACAAGGAAGTTTGATGCCAATCAATAGAAAATGACAAATGTTCTCACAGTTCATCAGGGGTAAAAGTAGTTTTACATTCTTGGCAGCACTATGAGAAAAGTGTATATAGAGTGCATCCCAGTCTTTCCATTTCTGGCATAGAACCATTCATGTTTGCTTTTAAACTGATTATATTTATCCCATGTCCAGAAAGAGGGACAATCAAGACCTGTTTGTCAAGAAGATCCTGCAGGTTCCACTTCGTCTTCTTGACATGGCGTCTCTCATACTCATAGGAGGATGAGAACACTGTTAAGTCAAAAGCACGTCTTCTGAAGTTGGGATGTTTTTCCTCCAACAGGTTCCAGAGGAATTACGTCAACTAGATGTTGCATTGGAATTTATTTATTTCAATGTCATCTGTGAATGTTCCTCATTTTCAACAGTGGAGTCATACAGGTTGAAAAATGTTATCATTTTTTAGAAAGTCTCATAAACAGCAATATTTCCACTAAATAAGAGACGACAACATTAGATAGAGGAAAAGCCTCTTGCACTCTGCACAAAGCAAGATGCCAGAGAGCAAAAATACTATATATTTTTAAAAAATCTAGAAGCCTATTTAGGAAAACTTGTATATTTAAAAAAAAAATATTAGACAATTATTTAGTTTAACATAATTATCGTGGTAAAAGCGAGTTGTTTGTTAAAAATTTAATGAAACATATTTACTGTGTTAGATGCAGGCACGTGCAGAAGGGGGGGCCGAGGAGGCTTAAGCTCCTGCTCCTTTAATCCTTCATGCCCCTTCGTGCCCCTTTTTGAGATTTTTTTTTTCTTCAAAAAAGTGTTTTTATTGTTATTATTTTTATTTTTTTATTTTAAATGTGTGTCAGGAGGCCTGCTTGTGGCCCTAAACACAGAAATGTTTTGGCTGCAGAGAAAACTTCTGACTGTAATTTTTTTCAGGCTACTCCAATCCTGAGTTGGTCCCACAAACTGATATAAAAAATGTCTGTCTTTATATCAGATATTCCCTTTCATTATTTTCGTAATGAAACGTTACCGCGACTGTCACTGAATTAAGTCAGTGCAGTCCACTTTTATAAAAGGCAGCATGGTGCAAATAGTCTTTCATTTCCTTGCGCAGCCCTCAAAGTAAAAACAAAAAACCTTTCGGACACTTAAATGAATACATTAGTTCAAGAAAAGTATTTCAAAAATGTGTTAATAAGTAACTAGTGAATCATTTTGCTGTGAACGAGGAGATTTAAGATATTTGGAATACGTGGTGTGGTATTAAGCGTGAATTGCATTATGGATAGCTGAATTGTCCATCTATTTGGAGGAACACCTTTTCAATTATGAATACTACCATGAGAAGTCGTGCTATTAAATGACAAATCAGCCTGACATACAAACTCTTTTGGGAGAAGGAGAAGATCGAGAGGGGAGAGAAGAAGAAGAGCTGATCCAGGTCACGTGACCGGGAAAAGCATCCTTTTGGTCCATTTTGGATGTTCCCTAGGATCTCCAGAGAAATCTAGGAAAATGACCAAACTTCAGTTTCTGAACGTCTTTTTGACTGAGCGTCTTATGCTGGCCGCACAGGAGATTTACAAGTCTGTCGAGGACACGATTTTGGAGTACCAAGAGGAGATCGCGATCAGGGAGCGGGAGAACGACCATCTGAGACGGAGGCTCCGAGACGCTGGGATAGAGATATGGCCAGGTTAGCTACTTTGAGGAGCTAACGGGGGAAACCGTTGGCGTCGTCGCCACCAACTCTTGCTAAAGCTAGTTATTCAGACTGGGGTTGGGGACAGTATTTGGAACAAATGTCCGATTTATTAATAGAGTATCCTTGCAGAGCTGTGGTGGAAATATCAGCGTTATTAGCCGCTGCTGAGAAGCGGCTAACATGTTAGCGACCTTTGTTCGTTAGCCAGTCAGCTAGCTAGCAGACGTCCAGTTTAGACCTGACTGAGGGAAGCTTAACTCTTCCTTTGCACTTTGACACTTTATTTTAAATAACCCTACATTAGTTTGGCGGGGACACACAGCAAGTGATAGCAGCTAGAAAAATGTTTTGAGACCTTCATTAGGTCCTTTCTTTGGGAACATAACATGCATCAATAGAAATTATTAGCTGTGGCTCTATTTTTTGTTTGTTGTCTTCATGTGTTTGCTCACTGGCTGTTTAGAACATGGTAATAGAAACATCACAAAGAAAAACCGCAACAAAGAATGTTCAGGCTTCAAACAAAAAGACACTTAGCTATTTTTTTTTATTTTTATCTAAAGAAACTTTATGCTTTTTAAAAGTAGGGATTATTACAAGACCATCCTAAAATGGGAATGATTTTGTAATGCTTCCATTTTCTGTTGGATTTAAAACTACATCTCTATCAAGGACAGAATATATATGTTTATCTTCAATATTTGTTGATTCCAACAGAATAGGTTTTTTTTTACCTTCTGAGGAAGAAGAAGAAGAAAGAATCAAGAATTGACTTAATGGTAAAGTGTTTTCAGTTAATTAAATTATTTTTCTAAAACAGTCCAAAGTCACAGACCTCTTGATGCATCGCTTAAAATCTACAAATGCGATTAAACCTTCAAGGTTACGGGAAAAGCACTGTGATTTCTCAAAGTTACAAAAAGCAGACTTTACCTGCTTTTTGTCACATTGTAGTGTTTTAAATCATTAAACCAATTTCAGTTCCAAAATATCCAAAATAACCAGTTGGACCACCAATGGAAATAAGAAATGCCCACAAGTCTTTGTGCTAACTGACTATACTGTTAAATTGCTGTGGAGGCTTTTATTCTGACAGGTTTCTCTCGATATTTTGAAATGAATTGAAAGTCTCTTTGAATTAACTTCCCTTGCCTCCATGTGACATGTTCTTGGTTGCATGACGTTTCTTTTCATCCTTTCCACTTCTTGCCCCTTTCCTTTCAGATCGCTCGTCCATGGCGCTGTTGGAGGAAGAGGACGGTGAGCATCCCCGCCGAGAGTGGAGTCCAAGTATGGGACATCAAGAGCGTATTCCCATTCAGATCAAAGACAAACGAGACATGCGGCCCAACCAGGGAGAAGATCAGCTTCGAGGACATGGCTCCTGCAGCACAGCGGAAAACATGTTCACCCCCCCACGTGTAGCGAACGAGTACCCTCAAGAGGGTCCCCACACAGCCAGCCTTCCTCAGACTCAGGGTGTGGAGAACAGGGAGAGAGATCCTGCATCTCGCAACGCATCGAGGCACGTGAAGGGCGAGAGCGGTGGCTGTCACAGAGGTGCCGCATCATCCAGCAGCGGTGCCCAGCCTCTTGCACCAGTCAACCCAAACTGCTCAAATGAGAACAATATCGACATTATTGGTGTTGAGAACGGTGGACAGATGGGCAGCGCCAAAGGAGCGGTGACCGGCCCTAACCGAGGACAAACCCCTCTCATGAGGAACCAAGGGGCCAATGCCATGGAGTGCCCCCATCAAAAATCTCCCTTGCAGGGCCACATGTCGTCGTTCTGTTGCAAAGTCTGCGGCGAGGCATTCAGTCACATCGGACACCTTCACGTCCACGTGCAAGTGCACACTCGAGAAAAACCTTACCGCTGCGGAGTGTGCGGAAAGTGCTGCAGCTCCTCCGGCAGACTTCAGGAGCACCAGCGGAGCCACACGGGAGAAAAACCCTTTCGCTGCCAGATTTGTGGGAAGGGCTTCACTCAGATGGCTCATCTGAAGGTCCACATGAGGATCCACACCGGAGAGAAGCCGTACAGCTGCCCCGTGTGCGGCAAGTGCTTTAGCCGCTCTGACAAAATCAAAAGGCACCTTCAGACGCACAGTCGCGAGGGGACCTACTTCTCGGGGCAGTAATGGAAGGGGTTCAGTTTGGGAGTCGTCGTTGTTGTGGGAAAGTTTTCAGCATAAAGCTACAATTGCTGCCACTGACGAGGCATTTCTTCCTACTTCTAAGGACGTAGAAGTTCTGCTTCTGTAAAGAACACTTTTTAACCGAACCTGTAATTTCTCACTTCCTTTATATAGTTTGTATTAGCCAGTTTATGTTCTTTACAGTGTTTTGTATTTATCATTACGTATTATTAAAGTAGACACAATTTGAATTATTAGCTGGACTTTTCACGATTATGTAGTGTTTTTCCAGCCTTATGATTTGGCATGGAGTCTTCCACACAAGCCTGGGAACATGGATGTATCAAGGACGATCAGCACATTCAGTTTATCACCAGGTGGTCACTATGTCCATGTGGCTGCAGCTGCAGACTACACATTTTCTTTGTGGTCATTCTTTTTGTTGGTTTTAGAATTAAGATTAAGCACAATTCTCAGTAATTAAAAAAAAAAAGTGTGTATCATGAAGCAATATCAATAACTTAGGAAGTTATGTTGAACGTAACGCCACAGTATTCAGTGTCATTTTCTCAGTTGGACTTGGTTCCGATTTGAACATTTCACTAGCGTGTTCTTGGGAACTTGGTTAAAGTGGATGGGAGTGCTGAAAGATTTCACACCTCTCTCTGATTTGGTTCATTTTCACACAGAAAGCAGACCAAACAACGTCATGCAGCAGCTAGTGAGGCGCCAACACAAGAAGCTGCATGTGTGCATGGCAAACCACTTTACATTCAATAAAAAAAACCTAATATCTCTTTAGTGCTGTTGCATTCTTACAGAGCAAGTCACTGCCATCTCACGGGATTAGTGTCAAATCTGACGTGAGACTTCACCAATAAAATAATGTGATATTGTGCAGAATGCCCGTTATTTTAGGAGTGTAGGTTTGCTTTTTCTTTCATTCATAATATGTGCTGCGGTATCTTAGGTTGCATATGCACAAATGAAGTTGAACCATACAGTATTAACACAATCACTTATTTAGTAGTGCTAAGTGGGTAAAGCTTATGCGCACCAGTGTTTCCACAATGTGTGAAGTTTTTGGTTTTTATATTTTCATTTCCAGGTGAAAGCTGGATTGTCATAAAATAAAAGTACTTTCTACTTACATTTCTGCGCCATCGTTTTCTGTCACAGAATTAAGGCTGCATTTATATCAGGAGGTTGCATTATTGTGTGACGTATTGTTATAAAAACAATTACATTTGTTTTTGTTTGATGCTGGAACAAGCACAAACTGATTTGTACTGCAGAATTTAGCTGAAAGATGAACCGACCCAGACTTGAACATGAACGAAGGTTGTTACCAGCAGAGCACACCAGAGGCTTGTTGGTTGCTTGTGTCACAAATTGATAAATAGTTGCTAGTTTTTCACAACTGGCCAGTAGCTCATCACATGCTGTCTTCCTAGGGGGATCTTAGCTCCCCAGCACATACTCTGTACAGTGTTTTACCACTTAAATGTTATTTTCAAATAAAGTAATACCTGATCATCTGCTGTGAGTTTCTTGCATTATTTTAAGGAGTCCCAAATCAGCTTATGTTTTGAAAGTTGATTAGCTACAGAGAATGTTAAGATTTCCCACCACAATAAAAGCTGTGTCAAATATGAAACCATTGTGGCGTGCAGACGGCGCCTTGCAAAAATATTTATACATCGCTGTACACTTTATCACATTCCAACTACAGCATTTGATTGTACTGAAGAGAGTTTAGTTCAGTCTCCCTGAGTCAATACTTTGTAGGATCAGATTTTGCTGCCGTTGGCGCCGCAAATAAAATGTTCCGATTTTACCCTTTCTTTGCAAAATAGCTCACTGAGGAACAAAGATAAAATTGGTGCTCTAATTGCTAGTTTAAAGACTTCTGAAGACACATGATTGTGGTGGATTTATTGTACATGGATTGCAATAAAGGCAACTGACTACAAAATAGTCACATAGAAAAAAAATGGACTTCTACTACAAAGGTAGGCATTGCTTTCTGACAGTCTGCCAGATAAAATCATTGTAAGACACTTTGTCCACTTGTGGTCTCCATGACAAAAACATGAAAAAGTTAAATCAACATGAATATTTTCTAAACCCTGGGAAGGCCTTCTTTACCCTGCAGTGTATAATCATCACTATTGCTCCTATTCAGCTTTTCCTAACATAAGACAAAAAGGTGCTGCAGTAAAGAACAACAGTTAATTTCGTCATATACAATATATACCTGCAAAAGTCCTCAACTACTCTGAGTGATTTAGTGAAACCGATTTGCTACAAACGATTATGCAGTAACATGTTTACGACTCTTGGGGGCACACTTACCACTTTAATTTAAGGACGCTTGTTGTTTTCAAAGTGAAAACAACAACAAAAAAGACATGAACTATGATCAAATCATGCGAGTAAGTATTACTGATATCCATGGCTTCTTTTACACTCCCAATGCCGAGAGACTTGATGCATATCTCAATTGTGAATAAATACCCTTTCTTGTGATGTTTGTTAAAGTCAGAATAAAACTCCACCTGGTTTCAACACTGCAGACATGTCTGCAGCCACTGGAAATACAAGGGCATTGTTCTGAACGCTGGTCTCCACTAAAACACCACATCTTGTAAAGGTGCCAGCAGGAGACAGATTGGGAACACAGCAGTAAGGACACAGCACCAGGAGGTAGAGGGACACTAAGTTACAGTGATTTCTTACGTCATATTGGCTCACGATGACTTCCTGAGCAATAGCAACGCACATTGGAGTTGGATTATTGTATTTGTCAATGAGCATCTCTTTTCCACTAAATATATGTACGATTTAAAATACGGTGAATATTCAGAAAATTACTATTTTATTTATATGTTTGATTGTGATCGTAGAAATACCATGTGTAGTGCTCAGATGAGAAATGTCTTATTGAAGATATTGAATGTAGATCAAATGATTGTTTTGTTTTACTGAATGTGAGTAATCCAGCGGTTGCTGCAAGTCATTGCAGTTTAGGCTGTTTGCATTTCAGCAAAGTTCTTGTGTTTAGGTTTCAAACTGAAAGTATAATTGCATCTGCGAGAAAATCAAATACATATTAGAAGAAAATCACAACTCTTATTTAAATACGCAAGCAGCCAAGTTGGTATTTGAATTCATTATTCAATAGCCACAATTAGTACGTTTCAAATTTCTCCAGAAAGTGCTCTCACAGACTCACTGTCACACAAATCAAGTAGCTGAAAATCTGGATGTTTTTAAAGCTGTGACCTTCCCCAATCCTAATTATTGGGCACAAAAACCTTCTGCTAATGATCCCAAACTGTGCTAGGACACCATAGGTGGGAGCAGCTAAGCAGCTGCAAGGTAATAACACAAGAATCATGTTAGGTAGTGGAAGGAGATCCATTTTTGACCAATGAGTTCCCAGTTTGATAGGTTTACAGGAGAAGAGTGTCCCTTAAGTTTTGCAGGAAACGTTTTGGTATAAAATCATTTATACTTTGCATGTTGAAGAGAATAATGATTTTACAAAAGGTGGGTGCATAAATAAATAACTGAAACAAAAGCCAATATACTAGACAATACACTGAAGTTGTACTTTTGCATGGGAAAAAAATGGCAGCGAACTGAAGCTTCACAAAGTCCAGGCAGATTCTGGTGTCTTGTTCCTTATTGTGTCACCATTATTTTGAGAGGAGAGCTGCTCTTCGTCCAAACAAGCTTAAGTTCACACCAGCATCCTAATCAGAGTTACTGATTGAATGACTTGGTTGAAGAAGTAGAGTATTTAAACAGGGAATGATTTTACAAATCCAGCCAAACTCTGCTTTCGAAAACAAACCACAATTTAGAGAGTGTACGAGACAGATATTCATACTCATATAGAAATATGTGTTTCCATTGCATATATTTTGTGCAGGTATATTAATACTGATATAGAAATGTGTATATTACCAAGGAGACTGAATATATTGGTGGATAAACAACATTACAATGTACTGTTTTCCTGCTGATGTCAGAGGTCATTCTCATTGGTTATTTCTGACCAAATTGTGTATTTCTGCAGATAGCAGGAGGATCAGGGAGGAGGATTTTTCACAGATTGTTAGTCTCATGTTGTTCTGTGAGGACATAGTGGCAGTTTTAACAAAAATATAAAAAAACATGTTTTTCTTCAATTAAAGTTACTTCCTGCAGTCTTAAGGGCTACCACACAACCAAACCTGCACAGCACACTCTCACACACAGAAACAGGATTACTTTGCTGCAGATCCCCATGTCGTACAGCTTCTGTTATGCTTTTCTTTGACCGATCGATTTCCCCTCAGCCCCTGGTAGGATTACGTGTCTGTTCGTGAGATCCCACTTCTATCCCACTATGTCTCTGCCTCTGGAGGACGGTGGTTGTGAAAGCACATATTGCTTTCCTGCAGGAGTTTAAGTAATAGGAAAGATAATAAAAAGCGTAGCTGTTGGACCAATCATTTCTCAGACTCTAAGAAAGCCAGTCATTTGTAGTGGGTGTTCCAAGGTCCTTCTGGGAACACTGAAAGACTGAAATAGATGATTATTTTGCAGCAAAGAACAAAAGAAAAAAACAAAAAACAACCTTCTCATCGAAAAGTAAATCTTATTTAAATGTCATAAAAGATCACATATACTGAAAATATAGAAATTGTTTATGTTTAAGGCTGAGTCAAATTAGGTTTCCTTAAAAGTCTAGAAAATATGCAATGTTATATGTAAAAGGATAGGAAAAAAGTTATCAGTGTGCATTTAACAAATTATGATTAAAATACTTGGCTTATGTAATAATATATAAGCCTGTTATTTTAATCTGATGGATACAGGATCTCTTCTGCAACAATGAACAATAATTTTATAAGGTCAGATTTGACATTTAGGGCTCCCTTTGACAATGTCCCGAAGCAACATTAATGGAGAGACACGCACTGTTGATGGTGATTATGCTCATCAGTGAAAATTTCTTCTGAACAGATGACACAAATGCTGGGCTAGTACACCTGAAGAACTATTTGATGTTCTAATCGCGATGTAAGTTACATATTAACCACACACACATCACATACAGATTGGCCTTTACAAACAATCCACATCAGAATATGCTGTTTACCTACAAATGTGAGTGCAGGAATCAATATAGATGTATTTGACTCTCTAAGTCTGATGAAATTTGGGTCTTGATTCAATCAGTGAAAGGACAAGCAAAAGGACAAGGACAATATTGGAAAAGCATGTGTATAGACAATAGTCAGTTTTTTATACACATTCTAGGATTTGGCAAACAATGTGAGGGATTTAGAAAATAAATAATCTAAACCTAACTCAGGAAATATGTAGTTTTAAATAAAGTTACTTGTAGAAAGTGTTGAAATAGAATTTTAAACTCTGTATTTCTTCAATAAACTCATCTACTCTCCTTCCGTCTTTGTCAATGTCTCTTGCAAAGCTGATGGCTGCTTCAGTGCTCATACGTAGTCTGAATCCATAAATCTCCAGGGTCTTATGCACAGTTACATTTCTAGGCCTTCACGTGACTGTCTGTAGGCTTTTCATTTTGTTGGCGGTGATTGGCGATAAGTGAGAAAATAAATTGCCTTGTTTTAGGATGCTCTGGGGAATGGCAAACCACCACCTACAGGCAAAGAGTTTGATATGATGTTGAAGAAAATAACTGCAGGCCTTCTTTGAAAATACTTGCGGAGTAACTGGGCTCACCAGATATCTGCCTTGCCAAGTTTTGAGCTGAACAAAAGGGTGGATGTTGACTGACTATTACATTAAACATGCATTTCAATTTCTTGACATGTGCATGTCAAGGAATTATGTTTTCATATGGTGTAAGTTCATTAGAGGAACACATTTCAAGTGTTTATCATCACCAGTTCACTTTGGTGACTGGTGTTGTTTGGTGCTGCAGGTTCCCCCACACCACCAAAACATAAACAAAACAAAAAACAACTGAACTATAACTATGCCAAACAAAAAGCATAGCATTACGATTGACAATACTAACATCTGATTCTAACCCAGCTTACTTCCAACCTTCACTTATATCAAATTTGTTCTGCAACTAAAACAAACTACTTCCCTTCACCATCAATTTCTTTTTAAATATTTCATCAGCATTAGAAGTGCTGCTAACTCATTAAAGACTCTTAGATCTGCTTCATGCTGCTGCTCACTGTTCCACAAGTGCACCCCCACTGCTGTTACATAATCATACAATGCAAAGCATGGTGGTCATTGTTTCCAAGAACTTTTTATGGCCTTTCTGCTCCACTGGACGGTTTTAAGTGGGGGACAACACGAGAGAGAGCAATGAGGAGTTTGCGAGGAGCGTACATTAGTCAGAAGGTCTCAAGTCTGGAAAAGCAGTTTTCTTTAAATGTTGAGATCAACAGAGAGAGGGTTTGGTTAAAAACATAGTCAAAAGTTTCAAATCGAATATGTGCATCACATTCCTGGGGAAGTCTTAACAATGTCACTCTTAATCTTCAGT